AAATCTTAACTTCCCACACACTTTTACTTATCTCTTGATTATTTTATTCACGTTTTTAATATTGAGGAGCAAAGAAAAAAAACAATGTACATATCTTAAACAAAAAGGAGAAAACTTGATTCTGCTCCCATGTTACAAGGATGTTCGTAACCTATACGTGTGTATTAACAGTACAAGTCAAAGAGGGGCCATATAAAGTGTTTAAACGACAATGCCGTCCAGCAGGTGACAAATGCTTTATCAATCACGTTCTTACTCAGTATTTCTTGAGTGCTTTCGTCAAGCCAGTGGATTAAAAAGTCCATTTTAAGAATATATATTTCAGTTTATATCTTTACCATCGCAGTCGATGAATGCTGAGTTGAAGATAGATTTTCAGTCCACTGTGTTGTCTCTTTGAACTAAAAATACAAAGCCAATTACGCGTTCTTGTTAGTCTGAATTTTAATGTTTTTAGCCAAGCATTTTTTTATGCGGAGAATAAAGAGATAAGAAACCACGAGACGTAAAGATACCAACTTGAATTACTTGAGTTGAAATTGCCTACATTTCTCGTTTAGTAATCCTTTCCGTAAGACAGGTTTTGTTTGTCGTTCTATTTAGAATTCTGACACCATTTTAATAAGATTAAATTCACACTTCGTGCTACAATACTGTTCTCTTTAACTAAGCGCATTTCAGTGCCAAAGCTACCAGCTATGAGTAGAATAGTACATTTTTTTTTCTTTAAGTTACCAAGGGTTGTTTGAGAAGGTTACGAATGGTTGCTTTGGCTATCGTGAGTCTGTTACAAGTGATAATGCACAATGAAATTTATAGACTTTTATATAAAAAAAACCTTAGATGTTATTTGTAAGGCACATAAGCATTTTAATCTGTTTTTGTGGCTACAGAAGTAAGAATATAACCACGATACTTTTATTAATTTCAGCTCTCGATCAGCATTGACCCGAAGCATAAGCTATCGTTTAGTTAGAAGTTGACTTCATGTTAGAGATAGAGGACTAAAAACGAAATTAATAAAAAGAGAAAAATAGCTCTCAGGTAAACAAGTGGCATCCTCGAAGCCAGATGAAAAGGAAAAAGAAACACCAATTATATCAGAATACCTAAAGGGGAAAAACTGAATGCGTTTCGTAAGAAAACAGCAATCGCTTTACTCAAACAATGCTCCAAGAGACAAGCAAGAGAAAGATTGATTTCTTTTAATTAAATGATCGTCCGCAGCTGCCCAGTGGGGGAATATTGAAAGCGCTAGTGATAAATTAGAATATGAAAGGAGAAAGAAGATAAGAGGCAGTTAAACAGTCGGTGTGTTTCACGTCCCAGTTGCTATTGAATTGAACAGCAATAAAACGTTCATTAAAACTGTCATCTTTTTGAAACCTCTGTCGTTAACATTTTGGTTAAGTACGGTTTTATGGGGCTGCAATTTATCAATTTCAAAAGGGCAACCATAAATCATTTAATATTCTTAGAGAGCTTCCGTAGGTAATTTACGACCAAAGAGAAAAAGTGCAGTGATAAAAATCAAAGTTTGCACCGTATATTATTACTACAAAATGTTTATCTTTGCACATTGTTTGTTAAATTTAGAAATCTGCCGGTTTACCTTTCATTGTTAAAGGAAAATGGGATGACATGTTTTCCTGAAAGTCATAAAAAATTTGCTAAGCAAATTCAAGTCCTCACTGGCCTATATTGACTTGACCTGAAGTGTAAAGATAACTTTTTTTTATTAAATAGTAAAACGTTTACGAGCTGATACTGAATAACTGAAGACAAAAGAGATTGTTTGTGATTTTTTGTAGCAAATCTTCAACTGTAGACTAGGTACCACAGATTTAATTTTCCGGAAGAGCACCAAAACCAAAACAGATAATTTTTCAATCGATAAAAAATATGGTTTAACGAAGTTTGGTTCCTAAGAGATTTTTATAAACCTCTTTACTCATAACTAAACTTGAAACCATTCCTCAGTTCTGTCTCCCTCTGTTTATTTCGCCTCTAGCTGTTTTCATACCGCGGTTTGTTCCAAATGAACCATGCAGTTGGTCTGACTCGCACAGTTGGTAGAACATTCAACCGTGAGATCCAAAGGTCTGTGGTTCGAGTTATTTTAAACGTCTCTCTGTTTAACTGGTTTTCTAATACGCACGCTATACATCGTACTGTAATAACAAGTTAGAAAACTGAGGGTTGATTAAATCTCATATATTTTGACTCTTATTCATGACCGTGATTGCCAAAAACGTAGGAAATCGTATCCTATCAAAGACCTCTCCCTTCATGACTCTTTTATACAGAGTGTCCTTTTCGTGCGAGAAAAGCTAGGCTTAACTTTCAGTGAGATTTCGCACACCGACGAAGTGATAAAGTCAGTTGTCTTGCAATTTCCTAGTGAGACGCTTAACCTAAGATAACTATGAACTGAAATAAAACTGGCATACGTTGGAGGCTGAAAGTTGAAAAGTGAGTGATGGGCTCAAGGAAGCTTTTTATAAGAGGGTGAGGCAAAAAAAAAAAAACTTCTCGGTAACCCAGATAACGGAGGCTCGGGTCAAAAGGGCCAGAGCCTGAGAAAGAAATGATGATGCGTCAGGGCGTTCACTTGGATCATATGTGACAAGTACAATGCATTCTACTTGGGCAAGTAAAGTAAAAAATTTCTTGTGTGAAATGAAGTGAGAGACCTCGTCGATTGTTAGATCTGTCCTCGGAAAAAAAACAAAAACAAAAAAAGAAAAACAATTAAAGAAATTATACAAATATTTCTCAACACGCTCAAATGGAAAATAGAAAATGCATACGAAAGCAGGAGTTCTCAGAAGCTTGTACACTTATCTGAATAATCGGCACAGTTGGAGTTTCGTTTATAGATGTCAAGATAGTCACCTTTGCGCATCGCACAATCCGTAAAATACTCTCCTCCGTTTTGGAAATACTGCGTTCGACTTTTATGACACCGAAATATCATCCTTGGAGATACACATAACAACTACTTCTTACAGCATAACAAAACCAGCGCCACATGAAGGCGCACTAGTGTTTCATATACAGACTGTTTAATTCACTTGAAGTTCGTAGCAGATAATACATAGTACAATATAGTTGACCCAGAGTCAAACTGCGGTTTTCGAACGTTTTAATGTACAACATATGTGAAACTTCTCAGAGGGTCAAATGGATTGAAAAGCTTTCAATTAGTTTAGTTATGTCGTTGTTTTTATCGCTTTTAATAAACAACTTCGCCGGTGTCTTTGTAGGCTTTCGAATAACATTTAGGGGCGGTTAAATTACAGTACTAGTTTAGAAAGTGCAAAACCAGCATCGTTCGGTACAATATTGTAAAATCTTTTGAAAAATATTCAAACGTACCGTTTTACTCGAGACTCAAAAACAGTGATAAATTTTTTAGACGATTTTCAAAAGGCTAACCCTGTAAATTAATGTGGAGAACACAGATTTAAGCTCAAACACTTGTAATTGTATTATTGTAGCTTCGTATACATAACATTGATTGTCGGGTTTGAAATTCATCTGTTTACGTGTGACCATAAAGAAGTTAATGGCCTCAAGTAGGACTTCAAATTAAAAAAGACGCCGCTAGATTGCAATTTAGTAAACTTTACGCGAATCTTGGTGCAATTTAGAGGCGGTGAAGATTGGTTTCTTAAGCACATTTACTTTTACGACCTAAGCTATTCAGTTGATTACATGTTAGCTCTATATACTCTTCCCTTGCTGTAGTTTAAGATGAGCTCTAAATGGACCTCTTAGGAAATTTCTAGCATAAAGTCATTTGCCTATAGAAAGCGTAGTACACCAAACGTAGCGTCCAAAAAGTTGTTCTCTTCACAGAATGTACCTTGAAATAGTTTGGCGGTCGGAACAGAATCTGTTTTCCTCAATACTCTGGATCACGAAATGAAAACTAGGAACAAAGTTAGCAGTTTAGAGCCATTACCGTCCTTTACCACGCAGGCAACATGTTTTCATAGACGCTACTTTAAACGCATCAGTAAGATTAAGATATTTTCAGTGTGAATGGAAGAACATGTAAAAAGGATTTTGTTGTCTCAGCCGGAATCTGTGAAGCATCAATTAAGTGAATACTGAGCAAATTTGCCTCAACGAAGATCCTGCAATTCTCCCGCTTTTGGCTTCTTTGATTAAAGCAAAAGATTCGCTGTGAAATAGTTGATGCCTAGTATTTGCAAACTCAACCTGGAGTCGTAAAAGTTAGCTCATAATTTTTTATCAATTTTGCAATTCATGTGAGAAGAAAGTAGAAAAATGGTTTTTTTTTTGTGACTTAACTTTGGTAAAAAGGCGAAAGCATCTTTCCATGTTAAGGATGTCGTATTTTAGGCGGTTGACTTAAGTAATGCTGCTGTTTTGCCAGTGTTGGTGGTTTTATTCAAAGTTAAAAGATCAAACACTTCAGTTTTCCAATCGATGACATATCCCACTAGTAAATTGTAAAGCAACTTAGCAGAGCCTTTGTGTGGATTTTGTAACTCGTTACCACGATCACTCCTGTCTGCCCTATAACAGCTTCAAATATTCAGCCTGTAGTAGCTTTTTGCAGCACCAACACCGCGTAACATGCAGTATTGGGTAGATGAAAAAGTTGTGATTTCATCCTTTTTAATTCAACGATATTTAAAATTCACATATAACCACTAATGGCTTTCTAAAAGGTTACTCTAATACCAAAACTAAAAAAAAACTTTTCATATATTTTATCGTAATCATCTCGTACCACAGTCAAGAGTTGTCTTCAACAAAAGCGCCAAGGACTTGCATGACAAAGAAAAGTAAGCATTGCCTGCCAGTCTGGTCCAGCCAGACTTTAAGTCTATCGTTCAATAGGTAAATTTGGAAAAATTCTTAAAATTTCCCTTCAGAAAAATATTTTGATTTTATAAATGCTTAACAGCATTCTTTTTCTAAAGGGTTTTTAGTTTTAAAATGTCGAGATATTTTTAAAAACTTCAATGCTTAGAGGTTAATTTGCTTAACAAATACGCGATATTTGCTAAGTGTATTGTTTGTTCAATTGGGGGGAGGAGATGAAGTTAAAAGGTTAGAGCGGCAACAGAGAACCTTATATTGAAACGTTGTTTCTTGCCTTTTTTTAACTTTTGAAATACCACAGCATTTCCGGCTGAGTTGTAAATGAAAACCGACCTAGCATTTGAGAGCAACGCTGGTCTCTTTCCTTTCGACAAAGAGTTGAACTACTTTGTTTCGATGCAACGCAACTCGACTGCCGTCTTTCTTCGTTTTGGAGTCTAAGATAGTGCAGCTGCAAGTTCAAGCGTGTCGATATTCCCTTTATCAAATGGCCGACTGTGAAGAAGCCGGCTTTCTGGTGGCGCTATATTTATCAGATGAACTCCTCAGAATAATTTCAAACTCGCAGATTTGTGGCTTTGTTTAAAACACATCAACTTAACTTTGCTCTCAAGCGGATTGCAGCTCACTTTAGTCGCATAATCTCAAAACGATAACAAATTACCAAACACGAAAATTGCGGCAAGAGAGTCTTAATCAATAATACGCGGACTGTTTTCTACACCTGCTTGGTTTTAATTTTACCAAAGAACGACCGACAAATTACTTAATTTTAAGAAAAATTTTAATATCTGATCCATCTTTAATACGGACTGGTACATGTGTTGTGCTTAGTACGCAAGTAAACTGACACTTTGTGTTCTTAAAAGATAACCTTACACGAAGAATGTAAATATTACAAGAAAATTTAAAGAGATTTACAGTTTTATTATGCAAACTGTGTTATAAATTAAGGACATGACACATAAATCTGTAAACCTTTCAACTGTTTATTTACCGGATGGCTTTCTTGAGTAGAAAATGAATGACAGAATGGCAACACAGAGTTCCTTGATTTTAATGTTTGAGGCAGTTAGTAGAGTGCTATCGTCATTTCGTTAAAATCAATTAAAATTTCGCGTTGATGTAAAATCAGGATGGGTCATTTGGTGTTCCGGCAAAGAGCTAAATGGATGTATTCAGTGTTAAATCACGAACTGAATGGTCTTAGCTTTTCTTCTTACTGTCAAGGTTACATTTCCATCTTGTTTTCACTTCTTATTCAGCAAAGGATTTTCATTAGTCTAATATAGGCTTCATTGTTAGGCGCTTTTATTCTCATATGGAAAGGGAGGCCTTTGTTAACACCTCCGAACAAATCACAGCAAAATTACGTTGAACTCGACAAGTGGACGTTGATTAACGCATGGCGAAACTAGGTTTTACGAGTTCGCTTTTATCGCCGCCAATCCTTGCCTAAACATACAGCTGGTTGCGATTCTTATCTCGAGTAATTTATCGAATGCTAAATTCGCCAGCAGTTTTAGGACATAATTCGATCCCCTTCTAAAGAGTATTAGAGGTCTTAAGCTGGTCATGTTCGTTGAAACGTTTGCAATCAGAGAAAAGTTTGTTTATGAAAATGGTTGCGAAAAATCGTGTACGCGCTCTCGATCGACTTAACTTAGTGGAAGTTGTGCGTTTCGTTTGATAACAAGGCGTTCGGTGTTTCCGGAAAGCCCGCAAGCAAAGGATATAAAACGCTCCGAACTTTATCAATGTTTACTCGGGACAGATGTTAAGCGCAGGAAGTACTCGTTCGCGAACAAAACGCCCCGGTCGCTAAACAATTTAAAATCTCAGCAAGATTTTATTAACAAGAGATTGTTTACTCGGTATTGGTAAAACTATACCGAAATACAAAGTTTGCGTTGAAAACCTCAAGACCAAGGTCAATCAAAAGATGAGTTTCCGCAGTCCCCATTTCGCGCTCTTTTCATTAACTTACAGAGCAATCGATACGAACACTAGTCAACTGAGACCTGATAACACAGGTTGATGGTTTGCAATACATATTAAAGGCGACAAATAATAATAAAGAAATCTCAATTTTTTAATTTCTAGTTACTACGTTCTATGACCATTCAAAAGCGGTCGAAAAATCTTCCTTCGAATTTTTGGTATCAAATCCACAAAACATGCGACGAGCTCAATTTCTTTTCTCTTTTTATGATTCTGCGCCTGGCCTAGCTATATTCTATACTTCCTTCGATCTGGCACTCAAATTTCCTAAAACCGCCCATTCACACACAAGGTACAGTATTGAGCCTTTTACGTTAATTAAGGCCTTTTCAATACTTAATAATGCGTTTACAAGACGTTTCAGCCCAGGTGACATACGTCACGCTTGTCTGGCGTTCTACATTATTTATAATACAAAAAACAAATTTATAAATACCCTCGGCGCACTCGTCTCTGAGGCTTATCTTTCCGTACGCGCAACGATGACAACCGGAGCGATGCAGTCGCAAAATTATTCCTACTTCGGCAGTAACTTACCGGGAAAAGACACGGGCTCTCATGCTCAACAGTTAGATTTTCCTTACACTCCCTGCCGAATGCAGTCACCAAATTATTATAATCAATCGCCGCTACCGAGTTTTATGTCACCCATGCCTCAGGGAAGCCTCGGTCAAGTGAATGGATATACCGCGGAGCCATCCACGTACCCGAACGCACCGATTTCAGGGCAAAATGGGAGCACAATTCCGATTGATCATCAAGGTTACTACTCGCCTCAAGAAGCAGGTCAGAACTGCTCCTTCCACCAATACGCTTGGTTGAAAAGCACTTCTTCTGCGGAAAATTGGTGGCATAACTCAACTGCGGCAGGTTAGTACATCAAAACTTCCTCTTACGAGGTAGACACGCTCGTTCGTCCGCTCGCACAAGCCATACTAGTTCTCTTCGCTACAGTTCTAACGCTGCGTTGAGTTCTGACTCTGTGAAATGTTTATCACATAACAAACAACTTATGCGGTTTACAAGCATTAATTTGGCATTAGTTTGACTAATTGTTGAAAATTTGTCCTCGAACGACGCACTGTGACCGCACGGACCATATTTACAGGCTCCTAACGCCATGATATTTAACTGCTGACGATACTTGACGCGCCATAAAACTGTACTTAATAAGCGATCGCCATTAGTCAGCATTTAACTGTGATTTAACGTGAAGATTGTGTACAATTTTCGTGAAGGCTTGTATGGTAGTTTCCTAGTAAGTTTTTTTAATTCTTTACGGTTTGTTGTTTTCTTACAGGAAACGTTGCTTGGAACAGTAGAGGAGCTTCCGAGGGAAAACGCAAAAGGACAGCTTACACTCGAAAGCAGTTGCTGGAACTAGAGAAAGAATTCCATTTTAACCATTTTCTTACCAAGGAGAGGAGAGCTGAAATGGCTTCTCAATTAAACCTCACTGAAAGGCAAGTCAAAATTTGGTTTCAAAACCGGCGCATGAAATGGAAAAAATGCAACTCTCAAGCAATGAGTAAAAGCTCAAAACCTGGCACGGGTTCTCAAAATACAAGCGCGGCTACAGTTCAAGACCTTCACATTCCTAACCCAGTATCACAGCCCTTGAGTACAACATCCATAAACTCACAAACATCCTTGGACAACGCTACTGTTCCAAGCTGTTTGGCAGGCTATCGAGGCCACCAGAGTTGAGAACTTAGCCATGCGCGTTCAGCAATTCGTTTATAATTTACGACTGAAATCCTTCTCAGTCAACATTCGTCCGATCGCATTCTTATTTAACATTTTAAAGAAACATTTCTAACGTAAGGATAAAGAGAATTTTTTTCTTGGTCATAAAAGAGAGATTTTATTAAAGATGCAGTTATGATAAGTTGATTTTCAATAATGTATTTAGCAAGAAATGAATGAATATTCAGTGTATAAAGCTGACTAGTCTCTCATTAGCAAGTTAGTTCGGAAGTGAATCGTTGCTCTCTTTTGAAGGCGACGCTGGGTCACGAAACATAGACCACTTTCCACTGTACATACAAACAAAAATTATAAAACGAAAGGAGCTGTAAATATCATGTCCGCTAAACTGTATTTCCATAACGCACTCACAATTTGGAAATAACGTTTTCAAAACTTCGAAGAGACTTTTATTTATGCCAGAAATATTTCAGCGGACAAGAACCCACGAGTTGAAGTAAACGCCGTTATTTACATCAGATAGGTTTCAAATTGCTTTAAAAGACCAATACTTGTATTTAATTTCTTAACGTTACACATTTCTGCTAAGTTTGTGTCGTTCGAAACAATCCCTCTATTTGTGTATGTTGTGTAAAGACTCAATAAAATTTTCTCTGTCAATATTTGTCGAGCAATTAGAGTTGAGACAACAAGAACCGAACTAATATTTACGTCAAGGAGATCCTGAACAAGCTCTCAACACTGGTGGTTCGAGTTTAATTTTCCGCTTTTTCCCCGAGGCAGAAAGAAAATTTACATTCCGTGGTTGACAAAACGACAATAAAATTACAGCTTAGTGATTGTTCCCCACCTCCCATCACCACGATAGCAGCTATTTCGCGAATTACCAATTCACTCAATGCGATTTATAGTTTAATTTTTTACCTCAGGGAATTTAGAATTTGATATAGTTCGTTATGTTCAAAGTGTGTTCACCCGAGTTTCTGCTAATCAATGCCACTAGATTGAACTGGAATCGACATCAAACAAAAGTGCAAATTTGGACTACTTAGGTCCTTTTGAAAAGCTCGTAAAAGGGAGGCGTGAAACTGGGGCAAACGTGAAAGGTTCTAACAATAGGTGAGAAAATAACAGATAATAAAACAAAAGACTGAACAACGGGACAAACCAATGCTAAAAGCTTCGAAGTCCAAGCAGCGCGTTAACAATCGAACTCATTGAAATGTCTCGAGTATCGTGGGATTAGGACCTTGCTTGAACCTTTTGCGTCCTTCTTGCTCAGTGAAAAGCGCACTGGACAAAAAAATTGGCACGCTGAACCCTAAGCTCCAAATAAAATGTCTTATTATTTCTTAATTTTATCTTTTTATGTTTACTTTTTGCTATGCTTTCTAGTAAATAGTCGTTCCACGATGAGATTCCCGCCTTTTTTCAGCATTTAACACCTGATCAAAGGTCCAGGAGGAGTTTTTTCTTCCTGTATTAATACTAGCTTCGTTTAAATCGCGCAGCACTCGGACGTAGCACATTATTCGATAAAAGCATAAAAGACGCGAGAAATTCGCCACCGGAACTTATCACTTAGAGCCGCGTAAAACGAGGTAATGTTTGGCGTGTGAATAACAGTGCAAGCTGCTTCTGTATAAATCCCCGTGTTTCGATTTAAAGGCTTTAAATTTAACCATTAACAGGCCGCACCTCTTCCGTGCTTTGTACATACAGTTGGCTAGCAGTAGTATTTGAGGCGAGCACTGAGGCTTTTCAAATCTCTTTAATTGCACTGTGCTTTTTATTTTAACAAAACTCACGGTGTAAAGAAGAACAAACTCACAAGGAAGCACTTGCGTTTTGTGTCGATTATATCTGCTGAAAAATCAAAAGAAGGCATACAGAAGAATTAAAATTATCCGAAAATGAGTTTGGATGAATAGAAAGAGTTCAACCAAAGTTCTCTCTTACATTACGCAAGTATTTAGCTGGGCTAAGAGAAAATCTCTCACTCAACAATTAGCCAAATATTTCACCAAGTTTCTACTGAATGAATTAGAACCCTAAATAGTTTCCAGATCCTTTTCTTCTTGTTTTTGGACCATAGATGAGGTTATAATAAAAACATATATTCCATTACTTGCACGTGTTTTAGGAGTTGATAATGTTTTATTTCAGTTTATAGCATTTAAAGATACATGTGCGGAGCAGGGCAGGTGAAGCAAACAACAAACAATCATTTTAGAATCACTTTATGAATCTGTTTTTGGAAATACAGTCATTTAGCCCAAATTTATTATTTTACGACTTCAATTTCTGGAGGCATTTAATTCGAGCCATGTCCATCAAGACAAAATAATGGAAGGCACTATAGTCGTGTTGTAGTCTCCCTTTAAACAATTTATAAAGGAACTGCGAAACTCATTTGCATTATGCTCAAATAAAATTATGGAGAAGAGAATGTCTTTCTATATTCAAGAATAGATCTTTGGTCAATAGTTTCTTCTGAAGAAACTGGAATCATTCAAACAGCAAAACTAATACCTCGATGGGGTTTATATTCCAAGGTTTACCTAGCCTATGTTGCCATGCTTCTGCTAAGTATTCGATAAACAATTATCAGTGTCGCAATATTGCTGTTGGAACCCAAAGCCCACGAGTTCAGTATAAAGTTCTGTCATTCCCGATTAGAAACAAAAAAAGAGTCGAGTTTGCAAAATTCACAATAAGGTGGAAGAAAATACAGATTTCTCATTACGAGACATCACTCGTGCCTCGCATTCTTCGCCGCTGACCGACCTGCCATCAATTGTTTGCATCACTCCTGCTCTATGTAAAACAACGCTTGATATTGGTATCATTGTGATTCACGGTGGCAAGTGGAATAAAAAATCCTTAAGCGCCAAGATGGCGTAGGTTAAGCACAAATACAGGGTTATCAGTGCATAACAGCAAAGAAAGCTAGCGCCAAGCAGTATTAGTGCTGTCTCGAATATAAGCTTTGGCATTTTTCCAAAATGCAATCTCAGCTCTCCACAAATGTAAAAAAGGTGTTTTATTCCCCGGTGACCTCAGCCCGATAGGTAAACCACTTTCGTTAACTGATGATATGTTTACCGTGTTAAAACATTCATTGTTTACTAATGGTTGCACAACAAAACTAGTCTTTTCAAACAATCAAAGACTTATAAAACCTTGTCTACTCTGGCGGTGCGAGACAAAATAACGCATATTCATACTAAACCGTGAGTGAACGTAAATCCCAAACTTTTTTTGGCTTTTCTGCCTGCTTCTCCCCTGCAATCGGTTTTTTTAATTTCATGCAAGAAGCCAACCCTGCCATGTAAATGACCAAAAGAAGCCAGTGGAGTGCTTTGTCTTAGAATTGCTAGAAGCCAATGAGAACACGATAGAAACGGCAAGGTTGTACCTGTTTCGACGCGTTAATTATTGGATAAAGATGATTCTCGACAGTACTTTTTTTTTCGGAGCATTCAAAGAGAAATCTTGGAGAGGAAAAGGATAACAAAAGCCCTGTGCATGAATAGAGCTAATTGGCTGTAAAAGAATCCAAAATAAAAACCGAGTTGACTCTTTTGGTTTCTCCCGGATATTACGGCAGGAAGTTTAAAACCATAAATTTCAAAATCATTTTAAAAATTTTGCCCCTGGCTATACACGTGTGCTGACCTTATTTGCATGAGAAACTGTCTCGGGTACTCGAGCGCACATCCGTTTGTAATCAAACTTTTACACTTAAGTTAAAAGAACTTGAAATCCGGTCCTTAACGTCAAGGAATACACATCAAATATAACAGAACGGTGATGCAAAAAAGTGATGTACATAGTTAAACACAGTGACGTTCTGATGCTATTTAAGGGTATGATGAACGTGTAGCGTGATTAACGCCTGTGGAAAGTTTTCAAATACAAGTATAAGCGGGGGCGATATTTCGACGGATTTGCCAACGAGACAGTGTTGCATGGATGAATGAGAGCTTCAAGGATGTGCGTCATAACAGCAAATTACTTCTCACGCAAACCTTTTTCACCCATTTTCATTTCTTGCTGAATTTTTTTCGATTGTTTGGGATCCTTTCAATTTTGCAAACGTTTGTCATCTTATGTCATTGACCAGCCAATGACCAGTTTTGTTTTGTATGGCAACGGATGATTCATGTTGCTCTGCAACCCGTGTGGTGGTTTCACTGTGATGATATTTTTAGCTCCTTGGTTTCAATCGCCTGAAGGCGTCCTTATCGAGGTTAGGAACAAGTGAAGAACGGTATAAGAGTAGTCACGGAATCATCTCTCACAAAATAGATGCCCTGTCTTTCGGTCCAGACACACTTTAATCAGATGTTTCTTCTTTGTCCGGCAAATGATCATTTTCACTGTGGCTGTGCTCGTTAAGCAGATAGCCTGTAAGTTAGCCAACCCCACACGCGACGAAAAAAATGTCAATATCAAAATCGATATTGTGTCTGGACTTGAAGCCTCTTGAGCTAATGGACCCAGTACCGATTCTCATTACTCCAGTGTTGTAGATCAAGGTCCATTAGGCAATCGATATCAGAGAAATATGCCACATCATGGTAGAGCACAAAGCCGGCATTTTTTTCTGTTTAGATTCGTGTGATCGAAGCATTTATTTTAAAGGTGAAAATACTGCTTGTCTGTCATATTCGCCAGTTGTCGCTGGTATACTTGACACTTGACATAACTGGAGTGGAAACAACCACTGTATAGTTTTATTTAAAAGCAATTTTTTTATTAAAGAAAAAAAAATTCAAGCAATCACTATCGGCAGAAAAATGAATAGATAAACCCGTCTGTTCTAGATAAGAGTTTCTATTTTCAGTAATTTTATTAGTGGTTGTTGAATACTTTCACAAGAATAGCATCCTTAAAAGCGTGACAACCTGTGTGTCTACTGTTTGCTTGCTGAAATTATCAATTTAAATCTAACTTTCTCACTTGTGTAACAGAACTATTCAGCATTTTCTAAATATATCTGAAATATAGAGTCTACCAGGCATGGCGTTCAAAGTCCGATTAGTCCAAATAACTGACGACGCGTTTTGGTAAATTCAAGTTGATTTTATTTGCTGAGATTTCAATAAAATAGTACCTTATTAACGTTAGCAAGAATGTTTTTTTTAACAGCATCAAAAGTGCTGACTTTATACAGATAAACACAACCAGAAGTTGTTCTTCAGTGCAGTAAACTTGGAAGATCCATAACAGAGGCAAATATCAACTTTTTTTTATTAATAGTCACACGTTAAACCCGTCACGCCTTGAAACAGACATTTTTCATTGGGTATTAAAACAAAAGTGAAGTGTGTTTTGACTAGTTAAGAATTCTTTTTTCTTTTTCTATACAGACTACTTGTCTGATAATAAGCTTATCAGATCTAGGGCTCTTTGATACGCAATTATCAAGGTTGTTCTTGCGCAATACATAGTGACTTTTGACCGACATTTTAAAAAGTTGCTCAGGCACAAAACCGCCACTGAAATGGGATATTGCATTTGTGAATATAAAAGAGCACACTCTGACTATCACTATTCTCCATAAATAGGTGGTTAAATTCTCATTCTCAATCACCAAAAAATAATAAACAAACACAGATTTTTACAACGTTTAAATGAAAAGATTACCCTCAGTTTG